TATTTTAAGTATTTAATATGAGATGAGATTTAGTAGTTACTTGGTATAAGGCTTAATTACCAAAAATATGGTAATAATACCCCTGGCGAGTTTGAATTTACGACACACGATTTCCTCGAGTCGAGAGCAAGTAGATTGCATTGTAGAAACAATTGTTGTAGGGTATTGTGGATTTTGAAAGATAGTTGGATTATGAATAGTTATGCGTTAGTTACCGCAATGATTAGACCGGTTTCGACGCTGTTGAAGACGACCCCGATGTATGCAGTGATGCAGACGAGAAAGTCAAACTTGTCGACTGCCCATAAGTGAAGGGCAGCTGGATAGTCGACGAGAGTTATCATGGCGGCCATTATAATGGCGGAGAGCACCACAATGGGGGTGTAGTAGAATAATGGCGTCAGGAACAGTAACGACATCATAACAGCCACTGCCATCACCATGTTGGAGACTGCAGTCTGACATCCGGCGTTGAAATTTACAGCCGTCCTTGAGAAAGGCCCTACACCAACAACACTAACTTGTTAGCAATTGGTTTGGTAGATTTATAAGAAACTTCTCTAAGGCTGTTGTTAGTTAGGCGAGAATTTTTCGTACCTGTAGTTAAGTAGCAGGATGTGCAGGAGCCTGCTATGTTCATCATCCCAAACGCTATCATTTCCTTATTCCCGTCAATGTGATAACTTTTGAACACTGCAAAGCTTCTCCCCACTGCTATTCCTTCCTGTTACATTCATAGTAAAATTCCTGCACTTTTAAGAGCTAAAAAAAAAAGTATGAAAACTCCTTGTCTGACGTACGGCAAGGGCAATGATGCCCGTGATGATCCCTGTTTTAATTGCCGTCAAGAGATGTGCCGACCTAAACGATGCCTCCAGCTCCGATAGTGATGATGGGTTTAGCCCTTTCTTTAAGTGCCCAATCTGTGAAATCAAATGTTTTGCCACTTAGGTTGCGCTCGTGTTTTGTTTTTGTTTGTTGTGTGAATAAATTATTATTCGACTTACGATTTCTACACCGTGTTTATCGGCGTGGGTGAGATAAACCAGAAGGCTTCCCAGTATAACCGATGTCAGAGGTGCCAAAGCATTTATCCAGAAGAACACTGGTTTTTTCCTGCTCTGCTTTGTTCACATATTTTGACAGAAATACAACTTAGAAGAGAAAATTGAGTTTGATGCACATGTAGGTTGGTTAGCTGTTTGTAGGGCGAGGTAGTCAAGGCAATGCCTAGCGGCGTGCATATATTTTTGAAACAATCTTTATATTCTTTATATTAACTTGTATATTCATATACTGTATTTTATGAATCACGTTGTCCATATTAACTAGTATATTCTATATACAAAAAATTCTGTGGAACCATCATCTATAACACTCCAATGTGCATTTATTGTAGGACACGTGTCAATATATTATTTGTAAATAACTATGGATGATTCCATAAGTCGAGCAATTCGATGACTCCACAGCAAAACCGATTCACGAATTACTTACAAAATATCTTGCGATGAAGAGAAACAAGAGAAAACAGCACCCCAGTACTCCACTCTCCCATCTCCACTGCCAACATTAAGCATAATAATAGTTCATAAGAATGAAATAAAATGACAATTTAATAAATTAAATTAGTGATGATTACACCAAAAAAGAAAAAAAAAAAGGATAGAGAATGAGGAAGTTGACATTTTAAGAAGTAATTAGTACACCATGTGTGTATAATTAAGGAAAATGTTATGGTTCCGTTACAGAACTATTCCGTAGGAGTTCGTAACCGTTAGATCAACTATCAGTTACAAATCCTGACGGAATGATTCCGTAACGGGACCGTAAAATCTCCCAATAATTAATAAGCATAAAAATGTAGTAGAGACCATATGTATTTGGGTGAAAACTGATTTCATAACTGAAACAAGGTCAGCTCCATGAGTGAAGTGAAGAAGCCCAAGAATTCCCTTCAGTTGCTGCAAGCACACAACTGTGGCAGCTCCACTCATAAACCCCACTATTGTTGCATGTGACAGAAAATCCACAATAAATCCAAGCCTGCAGTCTCACAACAATAAACCAAACCAAAACCAAAGTGGTTACCTGAACTATTTATTATCAATATATGGGTAGCAATGCATTATTCTCTGCACCTGTCTTTCTTTTATAATGAGTTTGTTTGGGAAAGAAATAAAAAAACTTCAATTACAGAAGCCATTAATGTTTTAGGTGAAACTCTCGCGTTATCTCAAGAGTCGTACGTTTGTCGTGTCTCTTTTATGGGTGCCGTTTGTAATCTTGGTGGCCGATTTTCCGGCATCTTAGGCTAGATTTACGTGTTTGTGTCTCCTGTTTAATATTTCTCTACCTTATTAATTTGACCTCGCTTTTCAGTACATGTCATCATGTCGTGAACCGGGACAGAATGACACTCACGTCATTTTTTCCGAGCCACCGGATGATATGCATGCAAAAAAACAAGACCCGTAGCAATGAACATCAATACGAAGTTACCTTAACAGCCCTAAACCAGCTTGGAAAACCCCAGCAAAGAAAGTTGCAGCGAACACCAACTGCACGTAGAGCTCGGTGTTTTCATTAGGGTCGACTTCTTTACTAATGATTGTCGAAATTAAAAGCGAAGGCACGGCCACGGTCCCCACGGCCAAGTCTCTCGAGCTTCCCAATATTGCATATATAAGCGGCGGCACAAAGCTCGAATCTGCATTAATTTCATCATTCCTATATATTTCAATTATGCAAAATTCATTTTTTTCCGGCATAGAAGCTGAGAAGATCAATTGAGCAAACTCGCTCTAAATTGAAAAGAACTTACAGAGACCAATCACAGGCGGCAAACTGGCTAAGCCGGCGTAGCTGATGCCCTGAGGCACGGCAAGGCTTGCGATGGTGATCCCGGCTATGAAATCAGCTTTGAAGAAGCCGATGTTATAGCGTGGGGCCCACTCGAGTATGGGCACCAAGTACTGCAAGACGAGCACGAGCTTCGCGGAGACCGTCTGGTCCTTGTTAAACCGCTTGAAAGGGTCGTCCGGGAAAAGAGTCTCCCGGACCGAATCTTTGAGGGAGTGGAGAAAGGGCTTCGCTGGAGGAACTTGCACCTCCACTCTCCGCCTCTCGATTATTTCACTGTTATCAATATTTCCCATTCTCTTTGTTGCTTGGTACAAGAAACTTTAAAGAGTAGATGAAGATGAGAGAGAGAGAGATGGTATTGGTGCAGAGTAGGTGCCTTTGGGATCTTGATTAAATGGAGAAATGGAATGGCGGTTTGGAAGAGGTGATGACGTCAGCATATTTGACCGGTGACGTTATCAAATATGTGCATGTGAGCATGCAGGGGAAAAAAATGATGAATATGTTGTGCTAAGTAGATCTTTATTAGGGGATGAGTTTGGGCAACGGTGGGTGGAAAAATGATAAGACTAGCTTAAATGAGAAAGATGTTTTTAAGGATAGGGGTGGAATTAATTTCGTCTGTAAATTAATATATATTTTTATGGGAAATGTTATGGTCCCGTGACGGAATCATTCCATTCAGAATTGTAACCGTTAGATCAACTATATCTGACGGTTACATGATGATCTAATAGTTACAAATCCGGACGAAATAGTTCCGTAACGAGACCATAGCATTTCCCATAACTTTGGAATATACTTTAATGGTCCGAGCCATCAAGTTGCTTGTTTCATTTAACAATTGTTGTAATAAATGTTACATGTAGAAAGAGAAAATATATATTGTGAATCCTTAGATAAAAGGATGAGTTTAATGTAAATAGATGTGTTTATTGTAAATGTCTCAATTCATTGAAAAGCATAACCGAGCATTATGTTTTGTCGGTTTTGAAATGTCAGATGAGAAGTGAGATGAAACTCAAGTTCATTACTCTTGTCTTAATGAAAGCATTAAGGCATCTCTCATGCATTCAATAAAGATGAATTTGAAGCACTATATATAGTGCATGAGAGACATACGAGAACACATCAAGTGAAAGAAGAAAAGAAAGAAATACTTTATATATAAATACCCTCTTTCATCCTCTACAAGTTAAAGAAAAATTAAGGGTTCTTGGCGACTGAGATTCTGATCGAGGTGAGTGTGTTAGATAGTGCAGTCTTCACACTTTGAGCCGTCTTATCCTGGGAGAAAAGGAGTAGTACTCGTTGCACAGTATCGGGGCAACTGTTTCTTAAAGGCAAATAGATTTTCTGTGATTCGGCTATATGTGTTCTATGACAATATATAGAACTGTCAGTTAAGTTAATTTTTTCAATAATAAACTTATTTATTTCTAATAGAAATCTGGTTTCATATCACGTTTCTATTTTTTCAAATTCTTAATACGTATATGTATTGAAACTCGTTCTTAATTCACCTTTCACAATTTATTTTTCCAACAACTCTATGAAGAAAAAATATTAGATACAAGTTAATATAAATTATTTCGTGTTAATTACAAATATTGAAAAGAATAACCAGTTTGTCACTTGTCGTGCTTTCTATCTTTACTAATCGGTAAAAAAAAAATCGAAATAGTAGAAAGTTGAACTTCTCATCCTAAAAATAATTTAACTTATATAATGATAGAACTAACTTTTCACATTATGTAGTTCTTCTCCTTTAAATTTATTGGGATATAACATTTCAACAATATTATCCAGTTCCATCGGTGAAATGAAGATCTCATCGAGATGATTCAAACCCTTAAAAAATTAACATGGTATTAATAACATGGTATGAAATGAAGATTCTCTCGTTGAGAGAAAAATTCTTCCGGTGGGAGTCCAATTCCTTTGGTAAAGTTAGCAGTTATCCAATTGTTTGATTGTTCTTTGTTCGCATTTATTTATCAGTAACTGCTGATGGCGAGGAGGATTGGGTTCGCGAGGGTTCTGGGGGTATTCTCGTTGATTTAGGGTTTTTGCAATTGGGGGTTTAATGGGGGATAAATCTCCTGGAGGCGGTAGTGTTGAGGACATGGGGGAGGATGTGATGAGTAAGCTCTACGCCATATCATTATCAGAGAAGGAGGCAGGGGATATAGAAATTCAGTTCAAAAATATCAAATTCAACGAGAAGGAATGCCGAAAGAGTCTGTTTCGTAAAATTGTTGGCGATCGACCTACGAGTAATGGGTGCAAGTGCACTATGACTGCCATCTGGAAGCTCCAGCAATCTATGGAAGTTCAGAAAATAAGCTCGAACCTCTTCCAATTCACATTTGCATCCCAGGATGATAAAAAAAGGTGGTATCTGGGCACAATTGGATGTATGAAAATCAATATCTAATCATTAAAGATTAGTTCCCAGGAATGCATAGCTCGCACAAATACTTTGATGAACTGACAATTTGGCTACATGTTCTCAATGTACCTCTGAATTGGATTAGCACTGGAGTTGGGATCCGTATCGGGCATATTTTCAATGGGGTGAAGAATGTGGTTATCTGTAAATTCGGAGGAGAGCATGGCAGTTTCATTAAAATTCTAGTGGCTCTTAATTTAAAAGAGCCAATCCCCATGTGTACTTCTATGAAACTTGGAAACCAACGGGTAATGGTAGCCTTTAGATATGAAAGGCTGGTTAATCTATGCTACTACTGTGGGAAAGTTGGGCACCTTGATAGGGTGTGTATTAGAAGATTAGAAGATATTGAGAAAAATGCAGTGGTGGAAGGTCAATTTGGGGAATGACTCAAAGCTTTAGAAACCTTCCTAGGTGGTCGATATAGTCAAGCCAGTAGCTCCGGTGAGAAAGATAGCCAGCCTAACCAGCAGTCCCATCATGACTCACTGGTGTCTACCAATACTTTTCCTGGCAAAGGGAATCAATCTCAGATGCAACTAAGGGCATGAATGTGGAGCAGCAAAATAGTGAAGTGCGTAAATATTTAAAAATCCTTATTTAAATTATCCTAAGTTTGAGAAGAGATTTTAAATTAAAGTTAATTTTAAAATTTCTAAGGCCTTCATTTCTAATTTGTTGGTAAATCAATTAATTGAAGTATGAGCAAAATTAATTGTAGTAAATTACCAGAACAAATTTCTAAATTAGAATGTTATAGGAAATCTTATGAGAGCGTATTGACCCCTCCACGGGGGACATTTAATCAATTTTGACGACCTCAGGATCGAGAAATGAGATTCACTTAGAATGAGAGCTAAATTATATACTCTCAACGGGGTCCCTGAATTTTATTGCATGGCAAAAAAGAGACCGCTTATTAATTTCGTTCGTTATGAATTTGGTTTTGACTTATGGAAATTAATGGGTTCTTGAAAAACCATCCTCTTGCGAATGTTGAGTATGTAGGGCGACCCACATAGCATACTTACTCACGATGTGTAGAGATGTCGGTTAAATTTAAGTTAATATTATTTTGAGAATGTCCATATTAATATTTAAATTCAAAATTTTTAATTTGTAAAATTATTTTCGTGATTCTCAGAATTTTTTCATCATGTGGTTCATTCGTTATATGTCATTCTAAAAGAAAATAAGCTTACTGGTCCTAATTATATTGATTGGAAGAGGAACTTAGACATTGTGTTAACTGCTGAGAGTTATAAGTATGTGATCACTGAGGCTTGCCGGGCAGTGCCCGCGGTCGATGCTCCAGATCAAGAGAAACATGAGTATGCCAGTGGAAGAAGGCTGATGAGATGGCGAAGTGTTACATTCTGACATCTATGTCGAATGTTCTTCAACATCAGCATCAGTCTATGGGCACCGAGGCAGAAATGCTTCTTAATCGCAGGGATCTGTTTCGGCACCAGTCTAGGGCAGCTAGGCAGGAAGTTTTGAGTACTCTGATGAACACGCGCATGACAGAAGGCACACCCGGGAGGGAGCATACCCTAAGGGTTATGGCGCAGCTCAATGAGCTTGAGGTTATGAGATATTTTGTTGATGGGAAAACCCAACTTGATATTATGCTTCAGTCCCTGCTAAAAAGCTTTGATCAGTTTTGGTTGAACTACAACATGCACATTGCTCTTCTAGAACCGTTGGCTGAGCTTCAATCGGCAGAAGTCTTGTTCACTCAGAAGACTCAGGTGCTAGTCGGCGAGCAGGCTAGACCTTCCAGACCATTCAAAGGCAGGAAGAGAAAGAAGTCTGCAGGAAAGGCGAAGGCACATGACACTCCAGTTGCCCCGCGACCGGCCCCTCAGGCTGTGGCAAAGAAAACCAAAATGAAGATGCCACAAGTGCAACAAGTCAGGACACTGGAAGGTCGACTGCTCTCTCCTCAAGTAGAGAAAATAATGTAACTCTTGTTTATGTCGTAGAAACATGTTTAGCGGTTGTATCTACCAGTACCTAGTGTGTAGATACTGGAGCCACTGATCATGTCTGCAATTCTTTGCAAGGGTTCTAGGAAACCAGACGACTTAAGGAGAGAGAGATCACTGTCTATATGGGCAATTCCACGAAAGTGACGGCTATTGCAGTGAGAGACGTTACATCTTCTTTTGATAGTAGTAGTTTGGTTTGAGACATTGCCTTTATGCTCCGAGTTTTAGAAAGAACATTCTTTCACTTTCTAAGCTTGTTTTGGATGGTTTTTATTCTACAGTTGATGACTTGATTATTATTCGATCTGAAAATCGTTTGATTTGTTCTGATTCATTAGTTGGCAATGTATATGTTCTTTAACCAAACTATACCATAGTACAACAAACTGAATTGAAAATGTCTTGGCAAAATCTAATAAGAGGAAGGAGTCTTCGCAGATGAATCAAGCATGTCTTTGACACCTTATACTTGGGCACATCACCTTAGGAGGATCCAAAAGTTGGTATCTAGCGGATATCTCGGTCCACTAGAAGATCATTATCTAACTTGCGAATCGTGCCTAGAAGGTAAGATTGCCAAGAGGTCATTTTCGACAAAGGGGTACATAAGCCAAGAAGTGCTGGGGTTGATTCATTCTGATTTGTGTGTTCCTATGTCGATCTAAGATAGAGGTGGTTACAAGTATTTTGTCACGTTCATTGATGATTACTCGAGATATGGGTACATCTACCGGATGCAACGCAAGTCCGAATAATTTGAGAAATTCATGGAATATCGGGCAATTGTGGAGAAGTATCATGATAAGAGTATCAAGTCACTTCGATCTGATCGAGGCAGAAAATACCTCTT